TAGTGAAAGTTTTGTAAAGTGCGTTCTTTAAAACCGCAAAAGTGCGAAATGTCGAGTATCGGTAGAGTCTCGGAATTTAATCCCCACGAGGAGGACATCAGTTCGTATTTATTACGACTCAAGCATTATTTCAAGGCCAACGATGTCAAGTCGACGAATCCTGTCTCCATCTTGATAACAGTGATTGGGCCTAAGATTTTGGCGGTGTTAATGGACTTAATATCACCTAAGAAGATTGACGATGAAACATACGAAAGCCTAAGTAAAACATTGGAAGAACATTTTGCTCCTAAAAGGCTCGTTGTTGCGGAACGATATACGTTTTATAGTCGTTGTCAAAAACCGGCAGAGTCAATAGCGGAATTTATGGTCGCTATCAAACATTTAGCCAGTACTTGTAATTTCGGTCCATTCTTAAATGATGCTTTGAGGGACAAACTAATATCAGGCATTAGTAATGATGGAATAAGGCAAAAGTTGCTTTCCGAAGAGTTAGATTTGAGCAAAACTTTTGCTCAAGCGCTCATGCTAGAACAGGCTGAAAGGCAAACAGGCTTATTCGGGAATCATCCTGTGCAAGATATTTCCAAAATTAGTGTGAAAAAGTGTGCACGTGGTCCTGTGAAAAGTGGGAATCCTGTTGGGTACAAGTTAAAATCTTTTGAAGAGAAAAATAATGATAGCAAGATAAAGTGTTATCGTTGCACAAGTTGGGATCATAAGGCTCATATGTGTCCTTATAGTAATTATAGGTGTAATTTGTGAAGAAGAGTAGGCCATCTTAGCAAGGCGTGCAAATCTAAAGGCGAAACTGCCGCAAAAGGCCTAAAAGGAAGGTATAAGGTGCATCAACTGGAAGATAAAGGGAAGCCTAGCCTAGACATAAATGAGGAAGTGGAAAATTTGTCTCTATATAATATTGGCTCATGCTCAAGTAACTCTGATTACAAGGTAAGGCTAGCTATAGAGAATGTGCCTGTAGTTATGGAAATTGACACTGGTTCGGCACTGTCAGTGTGTCCTCAGGAAATATTTGAGAAATATTTTTCTCACGTTCCATTGAGATCTGTAGATATTAAGTTGTTAACCTATTCTCGCAACGAAGTCATAGTAACTGGGCAAGCTCAAGTCAATGTTGACTACAAGGACCATTCTTATTGTTTGCCTATGATTGTGGTTCAAATAAATCGTACTAACCAACCAATGCTCTTAGGAAGAAACTGGATTAAGCACATTGATTTAGATTGGAAATCAATTTTCTCATGTAATTTTGCTAGCGCAACCGCTACTGGTAGTCATGAACCCAAGCCTAATGAGGCAGCCAAAGATGGGGTTTCACCTAACCTAACCGGAAAGGTTTCTATAGAACCTAATGAGGTTAAGGCATTAAAACAAAAATATGTCTCGGTATTTAGAGGTGGTCCGGGGGAGATCAAAGATGTTGAGGCTAGGATAGTCTTAAAAGAAAACTCTATTCCTAAGTTTTGTAAATATAGACCTGTTCCGTATGCATTGCGTACTTCTGTTGAACAAGAGATTGATCGGATGATATCCGAAGGTATTGCCTACCCTGTTACAAGCTCACAGTGGGCTACCCCAATAGTAGTTATACAAAAGAAACAAGGCGTCCGCTTGTGCGGGGACTTTAAAGTTACTCTGAACCAGGTTATACAGTCAGAACATTATCCGTTGCCGCAGCCCGAAGATATATTTGCCTCGTTAGCAGGCTGTAAATGTTTTGTAACCGAATTCCCAACTCCATTGATCAAAAGGGTGAAGCCCTTGGAAGCGCAAAATCAATGGTGGGATTCCGGCACAATATTGCTGAGGTGGAGGACCAACAATAACAACACAAGAGCTGGCTGGACACAAATATAAATTTATTCATTCTAATATATATATATATAAATGCAACAATGATACTTAAATAACAATAATAAATAACACATTGCCCTAGCCAAGATAATAATTAAGTTAAAGCTTTTAAAACATTTAAAAATATCTTTAATAAAAATACAATTTAATTTAAAAATGAAAATCGAGTTAAGTGACACTAGGCGTAAGTGACATTTTGCAAAAGCATTTAGTATACTAACTCAAACAAATTTAAAACAAATTAGCTTAGGTGGCCACCTTATACAAATCTTTTAAAACAATTAATTTAATGCCTTTAGTCCTAGGCCTACATTAAAATAAATAATTTTTACATTTAAACGAACATGAAAAACATTTACACATATCAACAAATGTGGTCGCCTCGCAAAAATATATTCCAAGCGGTTAAAATTAACCGTCAATGGCAAAAAAAATGGTTTTACCCTCAATCAAGGGGTGTGAAACAGAATTAAGGAATAGAATTTAAAATTGGAAAAAATATTAAGTAAGTAAATTTAGAGAGGAAAAACTAATTAGTTAAATTGCAGGTAAAAAGATTACAGATTTTGTTATATAAGTTAAATAAAAGCCTATGTTGAGTGAGATTTCTTCATGATGGATGAGACTCTCCAAATGGACTGGACTGACCTGACCGTAAAACCTTGCTGGCATCCAGGTGAGTTAGTAGGAAGTAGAAGTAGGCCGAGAACATGGTGGCCGCTTCCCAGACACTGCAGCACGGTATTAGGCCGGAGTAGACATAGGCCTAGTTGCGTAGGTGTCACCATCAGTGGGTGGTGGTGCACAGTCAGTGGTGTGACGCAGTCCCATCCGCCCGGGAGAAGGCTCATCGTGGTGCAGTTGTTAGCATTCTAATGGTGGCAGGTTTCAAGTGGAGTCGCCGACCCTGATACAAAGTATAGATCACTGACCTGGCCTAATTAAGCTAACATGTCTCAGAGTCCATATATTTAGGTTGCACTAGGCCTGAATAATTCAAAGGGCGTAAAACATTCTCTTTACCTGCAGTCAGCGACCACATTTTTACAAAGTTGTTCTGTAGTCTAGCCTAATCAACATGGTTCTCTAGAGAAAGGTAACATGATCTCACATGAATAAAAGTGCATGAATGTGCTTGCTTACTATTCACAAGTTTAGGACAAACAAAATGGATATTTAAGTTATTATCTTGGCTAGGCTACTGTAATTGACCAGAGCAACAATTTAGGCTAGCAAAAGTTACTAGCACAAACAAAATTAGAACTAGCCTAGAAACTTTTGACATGATTGGGTCCAGACCAGCTCACAGTTAAACACAGAAATTACACAAAATGACTCAAAAATTACACAAAAATGACGTTAACACTTTAACTTGGTCTTTTAACCTTAAACATGAAAATTGGCTCAACTTTTAATATCACTTGTACTGACAAAGTTAACTCAACGAGGCATGCACATTGTGTTATCTAGTGGACTCGAAACTCTCAGAAAACAGTACAATAAACATCAAAATGACTCTATAAAACATTTCTGAACGATAGTGAAACAGTGAAAAATGAAACAAAATGAAATAAGCGAGGACTAGGCCTGGCGAATTCAACTTACCCGTGGTATGAAAACTCTTAGCCAAAGTACGTCATGCTGACGATGATGGAAAGGGACCTCTGAAGGTAAAAATTTCAGGGTTCACAAAAGAAAACTCTTCCGGAAGAAAACCCCGTAGTTTAGGAACAATCTCAAACCCAAAGTCTGAAGAACGGGAGCCACAAAATGTCCAGCAGACGCGGCCAGTAGTACCAACCACGCAACAAATTAAACAGTGCCGTTGAGCATTGAGCACATACACACGGCACAACCTCCCCCACGAAAACCTAACCTCCCGGGGCAACAACAGAAAACCAGGACAACGACTCTGTCTTCTGGAAGGAAAACTCACTTCCAGGGGATGATTTTGCTGGGCCCAGCAATGGCAAAGAAACAAATTCGACACAACAGAGTAGTTCACATTCCTACACTGCAGGGTGATCAGGCCTACAGGGCAGGAACCTAACCTAACCTAACCTAAGATCTGGTTGTCCCCGAAAAGCCTTCAATTGGGAGATGTGGGTCTGAGGGGAAAATTTCGAAGTTCGGTGTGGACCAGTCATGTTGACTACACATTTGAAAGGACAATGAACACAAATACAACAAAACTACACATAACAACTACCTACCTAAGACCTCTAATTCACAGATGAGAACACAACCACGGGGCCAACAATCAACATCAGCCTGCCACCAACAGGCCAAAATCAGAATCATGAGACGACCACAAAAACAAATAAATAACTAACAGACAAAGAACAAATGAACCACTATGACTAAACACAAATGCCATGTCCTCCTAACCTCAACAAATTTCATTTGAAAAAATTACCAACTTTATTTACTGTGCAAAAAAATTTTTTTTTTTCCTACTACTTTTATCAACCTACTGCACAGTAAATTGGACCAACCACGCTCTGCTACCATTTGTAACCGAATTCCCAACTCCATTGATCAAAAGGGTGAAGCCCTTGGAAGCGCAAAATCAATGGTGGGATTCCGGCACAATATTGCTGAGGTGGAGGACCAACAATAACAACACAAGAGCTGGCTGGACACAAATATAAATTTATTCATTCTAATATATATATATATAAATGCAACAATGATACTTAAATAACAATAATAAATAACACATTGCCCTAGCCAAGATAATAATTAAGTTAAAGCTTTTAAAACATTTAAAAATTTCTTTAATAAAAATACAATTTAATTTAAAAATGAAAATCGAGTTAAGTGATACTAGGCGTAAGTGACATTTTGCAAAAGCATTTAGTATACTAACTCAAACAAATTTAAAACAAATTAGCTTAGGTGGCCACCTTATACAAATCTTTTAAAACAATTAATTTAATGCCTTTAGTCCTAGGCCTACATTAAAATAAATAATTTTTACATTTAAACGAACATGAAAAACATTTACACATATCAACAAATGTGGTCGCCTCGCAAAAATATATTCCAAGCGGTTAAAATTAACCGTCAAGGGCAAAAAAAAGGGTTTTACCCTCAATCAAGGGGTGTGAAACAGAATTAAGGCGATGGACAAGATAATTGGAGGACTCCCAGGTACAGTGGCGTACCTAGATGATGTGTTGGTTGGTGGATCATCCCGAGAGGAAGCTCTAACAAGATTGGAACATGTTCTGCAGCGACTTCAAAGCTATGGAGTTAAGGTAAACCAAATCAAATGTAAATTTTTACAGCCTTCTGTTCAATATCTGGGATACTGTTTGACTTCAGAGGGAATTAGTCCCCAGGAAGGTATTTTGGAAGCGATCCGTGACGCTCCAGAACCAACCTGTAAGGAAGAGCTCAAGGCCTATGTAGGCCTAATCAACTATTATGGTAAATTCATTTGTAACCTGTCAGATAAAATAAGCTGTTTCTATGACCTACTTAGAAAGGACGAACCTTGGATATGGTCTAAAAGGTGTTCAGATGTTTTTCAGCAGAGTAAACAATGGGTGTTGTCTACTGATGTATTGGTTCACTATGACGTGCAAAAACCTTTGATTTTGACATGTGATGCGAGCCCACGGGGTGTTGGAGCAGTACTTTCTCATCTCATTGACGGTGTGGAAAAACCAATTGCGTTTGCCTCAAAATCTTTGAGTGCAAGTGAAAAGAATTACTCTCAACTTCACAAAGAAGCGTTGGCGCTTGTGATTGGAGTCAAAAAGTTCCATAAATACATTTATGGTCGTTCAAATGTTGTGTTGCGGACAGATCATGCACCTTTGGTTGCCATTTTTGGAAGTAAGCGAGGAGTGCCGTGTGTAGCTGCGGCTCGTCTTCAACGCTGGGCGTTGATTTTGTCAGCCTATAACTTCGAGGTGAAGTACAGGCGTGGGGTGGATCTCCCTCATGCTGATGCCCTTTCAAGATTGCCGCTGCCCAATGATGAGACCATGGAATTGGAGGCCAATCACCTCTCTCACGTGGAAAATGTGGTGGAAGTATTTAGCTGCTACAAATTGTTGAGTGACGACACACCTATTACGGCTAAAGATATTGCTAGATTGACTGATAGGGATCCTGTGTTATCAAAAGTAAGGGACTTTATTTGGCACGGTTGGCGTTCGGCCGATGAACCTGAGTTAATTGCATATTTCAGAAGGAAGGATGAACTGTCGGTTGACAACAATTGTGTCGTTTGGGGAGCACGAGTAGTCGTGCCCGAAAAGCTTCGGAGTGCTGTAATCCGATTACTACATGACCAGCATCCAGGAATATCGCGTATGAAAATGTTAGCCAGGAGCTACGTCTGGTGGCCTGGTCTTGAGAAAAATATAGAGGAAACCGTGTCTACCTGCACTGTTTGTCAGTGCACTAGAAATGCTGCCGTTAAGGTGCCACTGTATCAATGGCCTAGAACTACCAACAGGTGGCAGAGAATTCATATTGACTATGCGGAAGATCCGCAAACTAGACAACAACTGTTAGTTATAGTTGACAGTTTTTCAAAATGGCTTGAAGTGTTTCTTATGAAATCAACTACATCATTCAAAACCATTGAAAGATTACGAACCTTGTTTGCTGCTTATGGGTTGCCGGAAGAACTGGTAAGTGACAATGCACCTAATTTTACGAGTGCCGAGTTCAGGGAGTTTCTGAGTAGGAATGGTATAAAATTCACCTTGTCACCCCCCTATCACCCTGCGTCCAATGGCGCAGCCGAAAGATGTGTGCAAGAGGTAAAGAAAAATCTGCAGAGGCAAGTGATAGAAAGTCAATTGGAAGGTGTTACCTTACAGCATAAATTAGACAACTTCCTGTTTGTGTACCGGAACACACCCAGCACAGTAACTGGACTCTCACCAGCCGAGTTGTTTCTCCAATGGAAACCCCGAACAAAATTGACCCTACTTAAGCCTAATTTGTTGTCAGTGATTGATAAAAAGAAGGAACAGCAACGTTCAGCTGCAAACAGCATCCGAGGTGGTGCTAGACATTTTGGCAAAGGAGATAAGGTGTGGGTGAAGACGGTCAGAGGGGAGCATGTGTCCTGGGTTCCGGGAAAAGTGATGGAGCAAAGAAGTCCTGCGACTTATGTTGTAAGTGTGTTAGGCAAGGTCCGGTTCTGTCATGCGGACCATCTGCGTTCCAGTCTTCTGGGAGACGAAGAGGAGACTTTGGTGGATAGGCGAATTCTACAGCCATCACCAGTCAAGGCATCACCTCCGGTTAGGCCTATTTCACCAGTGAAGATACCTAGCCCTCAGCCAGCGGCGATAACGCCCTCACATCAGAGGCGAAGCCTGCCAGAAGCATCTAGCCCTCTACCAAGACTTGAAGAAAGACATGAAGTGCAGTCAAGCCCGCAACTTCTTAGACGGTCTCAACGGGCCGTTCGTAAGCCGAGGAGGCTTGATCTTTAAGTAAACAGTCGACTGTGTAACTGAAGAAGTAATTTTTATTTTGAGTTATTGAAGAAAAGTTTTAAGTTAAATGCAATGAACTATGGACTTTGAAATTGGTTAATGATTTTTGGTATTAGGCCTAGGACTATTATTTAGGCCTATTAAAGGAAGAGCTTGATTTTAAGTTGGGGCGAGTGTAGTATATTATTAAAGTAAAGTAGCAAGAGGAATTTAAGTTTATGAATTGGCTACACTGACCACCGATGACGACAACAGCTGACGTCACAGCCCGACGTCGGAGACAAGCAGTCTAGCAAATGAGTAACAGGTTAGTGGACGTAATATACGATACGTGTAGTTGTAATAATGCCTCTTTCGGAAGATGTGAGCCGAAAACTGAACAAATAATCAACTTTCTGGTTATGTTGCTAAAAATGGCTCTACATTGAAAATATATTGTTGCTACTCGGCTATTTTTTTTCCAGTGAACTTAATACCAATCGATGCATACTTAAATGCTTAGAAATATAAGAAAATATTTTGTGGTTTTTTGACTCTGAAATCTTAATGACATCTCCGAATTCATCACAACCTCTAATCACCCTTTTTTGGGAATTCAAGATGAATTAAAGCACTTTCCAGCTTTGGACGATTTGTTTGGAAGCACCACCTCTTTTGGTCTGATTTGCCCGGGATATACCCATATTACTAAATTTAAATTATTGTGTGTAATGCTGTATATAGCCTACACGTAAAACGTAGCCACCAGCTTTCGTTCTATACTTAGTAAAATACCCCCGAAGCAGCAAACCTGCTGTCTAAGAGAATTCCTATTTACAGAATTAATTTTCAATTAATAAATTATAAATTTATTTAATGGAACTAATGAAGTGTTTTTTTTTTAGTAAAATATTATTAGCTTAGTATATAATAAATAAGTTTTTCATGCTTGATCAAAATATATCCATAAATAAGCAAAATACAACATTCTACAATATTCTCCATAAGAATAACATGGTGATTTTAAAATTATTTTTTTAAACTTTCTCTGTAACTAATAAATGTACAAAAACACTTTGATGAACTGAAATATTTGTTTTTAAGCTCTGTAAAAAGGTCTAGAAAGAATTTTGGAAATTTTGTGTTTCGAGGGTCAAAAACTATAAAAAGCCATTTTTACCCCATAAAACCTCCTGCAAGACCCCGTTCCCATGGTCCGATCATGCTGGTTCGCAAACTCATCCAAGTTTATCCCACCTTACACCTTCAACCCGAATTTCATTAAAATCATACAAAAATTACTCAAGTTATATATTAGCTACTTACCTATAGGGGAATTCGCTAAAAGGTACTTAGATAGCATATGAAATACTTTATTATAAAAAAAAGGGTTTATTTGTAGTTTTTAATGCACAAATTAAGTATTTATTTATAGATCATTCAATGTAATGTAGGAGGAAATGTTACTGAATATACAACATTAGAGCTGCTTACGTGGAGGTAACGCAATACGCCCGCTTTACATGAAAATAACGCTTTAAATGGAATTCAGACACTTGACCACAAAGCAATTCATTGCATTGCCTTTTATAGCCTTGCTTTCAACACATAACCATTCAACGTTATTTAGGCTTAATAGGATTTGTCAGAGCTTTAAGCTACTACTAGTGTACATGTTGCTCGAATTAGAGCAATTGCAAAGTATTACAGGAGTTATTTAAAAACGAATAACAGTCATATTTACAATTAATTTAAAAGAGTTAACTCAAAAATATTACCGGTGTGTAACTCAGACCATGTTTATCTTCGTTATTGATAAACCTAAAGCATTCCGGTCGGTTTTCTCCTTCTCAAAATGTCTCGCTGTACAGGCAACACAGGTTATTGATAGATGACCAATTGAGAACGAAAAGTCGTTTTAAGGTAGTGTTAGGGCGCATTTGTAACCTAATAGTTGAGATTGTCGAGGGTCAGGTGCTGCCTGTGATGAGTTAGGCCTTTTACGCGCCACTGTTCTGTAGCTGCGGTCGTTATCACGATTACGCCTCCTTTCTATGTTTCATTGTCGTCGCGTCAGAGGCATTTAACAGAAAAAAACAAAAAATAAACAGATTATAGCTACACAAAACAACGATAAATGCACAAATCTAAGTTACAATCGTGCTAACACGATCCGTCATAGCGACACAAAACAACGATAAATACACAAATTTAAGATACTGTACAACCATTCTAACACGATTCTTCTTGGGGGTTATGTTTACACAAACTCAAATAGTAAATAAATGTACTCAATGCGTTTCATTGAATTGAATAATAAATAACAGCAATTAAATTATACAGCTGATCAAAATGTAAACAATTACGTTATCCATAAGAATAACATGGGAACTTTCAAAGCCACTGGGGCAGAGCCCAAGGGACTTTTTCAAAAATGTAAGGCCAGTTTGCAAATCTACGCGACACGCTCTTTCCAATGAGACGTCAACGGATAAAATCGGTTAGGAAATGGCGGAGGAGTTCAACCGACAAAGTTTCATGTAGCGTATTAATTATATAGATTCTCAGCACTAGTTCTAATATTACAAGGATTAATAAGTTTTACCCATACGAATACAACCATTTCAACATATACAAACTTTAATGAGCTTTAAATGTACACTCTCTTTTGTTTCTTTTACTCACATTTGTTAGCAAAACCTTGTCAATTGGGTAGAATTAGAGAAACTTACTAACTAATACAACATGCTCCAATTTTCAAATAGCTCTGGAACCTAAATGGTTTATCGGAGAATAAAACTCAAGGAGTACAATTTGTAGACAAGTTTGTGTAGGTACTCTAATTTTAATAATAAAAGTCATTTACGAAAAGTTTATAATTTCTAAGTTAAAAGCTAAAAACTTTGAATAAATACATTTTTTACCTTTTTCACATTTTTGTCAATGTTGAGTGAAGGATGTTTTTTAGAGAACCTCATATTCGGATTTAACCTTCCAAAAAACCAAATAGAAAAATATCTATTCCACCCCACAACCTTTCAAGAGTACATATAACTAAAAATTTACTGGATTGCAAGTAAATCAAATAGGTTAGGAAAAATTATACCAACCAACTATAAGCTTCACATGATACGTTAAAAGAACTACACCATGAAGTACTTTTTTTTTTAATATTAGTGGTTTGATAAAGACAGGTCAAATTAAAGTACATTGATTACCTTCTGAGGCCGAGTTGTTCACATTTCTTTTTTTAGAAAAAACTTTTAATTAAGTTTTTTAGTAAAATATTTTCTTGATGAAAGCACAAACGTTAAATTAAATATCAAACTAATATATGCTTCTTGAGTGCTTTTTAATTCGAATAAATTTAGTGTAAGCGATTTATCAGCCCAAGTACTCTGGATGATCTTCATAGAAGTCTAAACGTAATATTATGATCAACATGATGTGAACAAACACAAAGGCCACTTGAGCTAATGGAAGGTTACTTTAAACCAAACAAGACTAAATCAAGTGACATCTTGACCTTAGCTTATATAGGTACGAATTAGATAACTTTAATAATAAATTGGCCTATACAGGATGTCCCGGAACTCTCTACCAATATTTTAGGGCATTGATCCTGGGTAAGAAACGTACCTAAATATCATATTTAAATTGTCCGGAAGTCCTTAGTTACTCACACAGTCGCCATTTTGTTTTTTTCAGTTATTAATTTTTTTCTAAAGAATGGTTAAACATACGAAATGGAAACTTTTTACAAACAATAATGACGACTAGACAAAGCTACAAAAAAATATGAAGAATTTTCTAATTCATAAAACAATATGGCGGCCATTTAAAATTTTCTTTCTTAAATAATTTAAAAACCATTGATTTTACAAAAATTTTAAATGGTCACCATTTTGTTTGATGAATTTGAAAAATCGTGACAATTGTTTGGTAGCTTTGTCTAGTTGTCATAAATATTTGTGCAAAGTTTCCATTTCGTATTTTTAACCATTGTTTAGAAAAAAAAATTATAAATGACGGCTGTGTGAGTCACTAAGGACTTCCGGACAATTTAAATATGATATTTAGTTATGGTTCATACCCAAGAATGCCCTAAAATATTGGTTCCGGGACACCCTGTATATCGTTAGAAATGACTAATCAAATGTTCAAATAATCTGGATAATGCGTTAATCAATAGGTTTCGACTTGTTAACAAGGGATTTACTACGATTAAATCCCTATTTAATAGTAGTGGATAGTAGTAGGGAATAGTAGTGGTTGCATTGATAAAAAAAATGAAAACACTTTTTACTAGCGAATTCCCCAACAGGGGGGTAGCTATTACCATAGGTGTATAAACTTCTGGTGGTTTTGACTTCTTACGTTAAATGGAATGAATACAAAATGACTACTAAGTTCAGTATACTCGCTTGGCAATGTGAGAATACTCAGGAACTGATTGAACTGACGCACACTGTATGAGTAACTAAATTTTATTTCACCACTCACTCTAATTTATTACCCTTTAAAACACAATATATATATATATAATCAATAAATCAAATGACGTATTAACAAAAAAAAATAAATATTTTTGGGGCCCCAGTATTAAAAAAGAATTGAACACATATATAAGTTTAAAAGTGATTGATATAATACAAATGTAAAACGAGTTGATGTTAGTTAATTAAACCCTTTTCCATAAAAATAAGATATTGATAAAATGTTATTAATCTACACCTTTGCCATTTGGCCAAAGTCCAGTTCACAAAACTGAAAACACAATCCTAATATGAAATTCTATAAAATAAATACACTTTACAAACAAAGAATATTTACATTTAGCAAACATACACGTTTGAAAACGAAATACTAAATGAGAACTTACTTATATTAAATACCTTATCATACAGATTTAACCTTTAAGGGTGTTTGGTCAAAAATTTCATGTCTTATTTTTTGTTATTGTTCAATTGTACTAAACATTAGAGATACAAATATATAAGAAAATCTTTTGTATTTTAAATAATAAGCGAAATATGGAGCTTGGATGTAGTACATTTTTCATTTTTGGTACCAATTCTTTGGTGATTCAGATTAGGAATATTCTGTAGAAAGTCTGTATGCATGGTCTTAAACATTTTTTTAGTAGGCAAATATAATCTATTATCGGCTTGTTCACTACTACAGGGTGGGCCATATGTCAGTTGACAAACGCATCCAATAAAATATAACACAACAAGTTTGGAATAAATATCTATTACGAATTCAGAAACCAAAAACAACATTAAGATATTATAACTTTACATAAATAATGTCCAATCTTATTTCAGAAGGGACTGAAAGTGGTGTCCACGCTCTCTTATTCATGCTTTGCATCTTTTCAAGACCAGCTTACAAATTCTGCTAGAAATGTTCCGTGATTGTAGATTTTCAAATTCTGATTAGATTTACATGTTGACAAAAAAACTTCATTTTTGAGAATATTCCATACAGAAAAATCCATCGGTGTCAAATCATGGGATCTTGGTGGTCACTCAATGGTATCCAAACTTTTTTGTTTAGGAAGTCTTTTATAATGGTTCCATAATGAGGGGGCTCTCCATCATGTTGCCATAATAGCTTTTTTTATTGGCTGAAGGTGTTTAAATTGTGGACTGTTTTAAAGTTAGATCGACACTAAGCACCTCTACACAGCCTAACTGTCGGAATTTACAGTACCATAAAAGAAATAAGGCCCAACTAGCCCACCTTTAAAATTCCCTGCCCATAGGCAAAGGCCAGGAGAATATCAATATTTTTCCATTGTTACATTAGGATTTACAGAATCCCAGTAAGCACAAATGTGACTTTTAACTCCCTCATTTACCTTGAAAGTCGCTTCATCGCTCCAAAGGATGGTTTTCATAAGAATATGTGTCACTCCACAGCAGATGACGTAACTCTCACAAAACTCAAGACGCATGTCTCGAAGTAAAGTTTTCTTATAGGGTCTTATTTTCAAGTTACAGAGAACCAACAGATTGGCGACCTTGTTGTTTTGCTTGAGCCTAACACTCATCCCGTACAATGGGAACTCCCAAACATCACCGCAAAATCTCCAGGAGCAGACGGAATCGTACGAGTGGTCCATTTACGCATCGCTACAGAAAACTTCAGCCGGCCAGCCGTCAAAGATTCCCTTCTTCCTACCAATTAATTCCTAAGCATTCCCATTCACCTCCTTTCAATTTGTATTTGTCATTTTCCATTTGCCAGTTTTTTCATTGAACCAGGTTGGTTCAAGGGGGGGCGATATGTTGGTTATATTTAAGTTTCATGATTTTAAATCAAACAAATCCTTATTTATATTTTTCTGTTTTAAACTATTACTAGCCCAAGCAATATCTTTCGCTATTCAGCCGCTCTTCGCGATAACGAAGGTATGCGGCCTTTGCCCTCAACGCTGATAACCTTCCAAACGGCACAGTCCACTGTCGTCCACGGCTGAATAATCACCATATTTCTATCGTCTATCCGCATCATCTTTCCGCAAATTAAATTCACTCTTCAAATTAAAACTTTTAAATTAATCAGTCTGTACAGTGCTAGTAGAAATTACAATATTTTCTTTTCATATCTGTTGTATAATATATCTTATTAATAATGTTATAAAAGTTAAAAAATATAGCTACTTTTACACTTCCATCAATAAATAGGCAGCTTGGTGAGCAGATCAGAGGTTGTGGTCAATATGAAAACGTAAGTTGCTAGTTGATAACTTTGTTGTACCTCTCTCGATACATTGGCGGGGCCCTTTTTGATTGAGCAACAGCTTCTTTCTTCACATTAAGTATCATAAGTTTCAGACATGTTACGGCATCTTCCGCGGAATCATGCCCGTCCTCCTCATTTTGAATTGCCTCATTAAGCAATTAACTGGCCAATACTTTCAGTGCTTGCCTCTTATGAGACTTTAGAGCGAAGAGGTGAGATGCCCGTAGGAGGCTGGGGAATATTTGCCCTTGACTGTGAAATGTATTGGTCTACCAGGGGATCTGAGCTAGGAAGAGTGACAGTCGTCAATGCAGAGCTGAGGACTGTCTACGACACCTTTGTAAAGCCGGAGCTCCCTGTCACTTAATTTTTTTCTAGTAAAAAATTAAGTTTCCAAGAAAGATCTTCAAGAACGTCAATAACTTCCATCTACCATTTATCTTGTAGCGAGGCTATTTTTGATAAGTTTACGAATTACCTACTTGCTCTCTGCTTGTTTATTTATTTAAAATAATAATATTATCACTCAATAAACCATAACGTTCATCATTGGAAATAATAATCGTTGTTTGCAAGCCAACGCTTGAAACTGATAGCTATTCAATTATAATCCAAGATACTGGTCACGTTAAACTAATAAAAACTAGTTTACTAGAATTTCAATTTTGGTATAGTGAATATTTTTTAGTTTGATTGTGAACTAAAATTACCTAAAATGAAAATTAATTTAACTATTTGCATTAAATGGCATGGTAGCTAATTCTATATAATTTTGAAAGGAGGTTACTCAAATATATATGCCCCCCCCCCATTCAGCAAAAACAATAAGGTTTTACTGTGTGAGGTATTTTATTGTGATATTTGTGTTTAGTTTTTCCCAGAAATTATTGCTTGAAAAATATTGAAAGAGATTACTTTTGTATTCTGTGTACTTGGCAAGGCATTTATATTCTTCTTAATCTAAAATGTTGAAGTAGGTCTAATCTAAGTGTTAAAGTTAACTTCTGAGCTAGTTAAAATAACTAAAATATAACACGATTAATTTAAGTCCAAAAGTAGAAGTACAGTACGCACACGTTGCCAATGAGAACTTGTGTTTGTAACTGGTTTTGCACTTAAATGTTATAAATGTCTTTTAAAATCTATGAAACGATTTTTCGATAAATCAAATAATTTCTACACATGTGACTACCCAAATATGCCATCCATGAATAATTGCATGTAAAAGTCACAATCACCACCCACTTTTTCCTGTTCATTCACTAATCTTAGCAGAGTACATTTAACCAATTGTATTCCCCTACCTTAAAATATTATATTGAATAATAATTGTATATAAATGTATGATGGTATGAAATACAAGACACCGATATTATACCTACTCTATATTCACACATAGGTCTAGTCACACATTAATAAGTTATCATTAAATGCTTGCATTAACAGTGATGGCATTAAACTTCACGCTGAACAGCTATGTAGGTATGACTTCATTTTCAAAGAAGCACAGAATCCGACAGTTGAGCTAATTTCATACGGGTGTTATTGGTATGTTGCGAACTTTAATGTAGCAAAAATAATATAAGTATATTATTGTGGCTAACAAACCACTAAGCAACTTCTTAGGGTTGAACCCTTAGTTATTAACATGTGCAAGTATTAATTGATACATCATTGCTTAGTATTACCTTAACGCCTTAGTATAGTGCATCAAAGTAATTGTAAACTTGTACAATGCAAGAGACAGAAAGTGCAGAAACAAGCATGGTAAGTGTGATTTATAACACCATCGAGATCACCAAACCTCTTGTACTGTAGAGAATAGGGGACTGGAAAATAAATAGTTTTTCGGTTCACTAAATGATTCGTTATAAGTTAGGGAAAAATAAAATATTTTTTCAAACATTTAAAATAAAAATATATATCTTTTACTTTAATGCATTTTCTGATATGTTTTAGCAATAAATCAACCCGTCCCTAGCTCGTTTACGAACTGCAATGATTTAAATTTAGGTGTCCCGTTGGATATGTAATACACAATAATACAATTCCATTGAAAACGATGTACATTGTTTTATTGTCCAAAGTGCTGAAGGGTAAGAGGAAATGATTACCAAGTCTGGGACAATTATGTCTAAGTGGAGTTGGAAACTGTAATGTCAACTGCACTGATGTAATATATAAAGTCTTTGAAACTGCTGCAGGAAATCGGAACTTTGGGTAGGTTACAATGTATACTAATGACTATAATGATCGGGTTATTAAAAAAAACATAAAACAACATATTCAGGCACTTTAAAACCTCACAAGGTTCATCACCGCAACCTATAATCTAAACTATAATGCAGATTATAACCTAATGGTACTATGTGCTTTCATACAACACTTAAAAGATAAAAATAAAGAATAGTAAATTAAAAACAACGGCTAACATATTAGAACAAACAAAATTCAGTTCAAAAACACTTTTAACTTGTGCTAAACAACAAAAACCTAATTAAATTTGTAACTAATTTTATTTGTTTGTTTTTTACATTCCATATGGTAACAATGGAGTAGGGAACGAAGAAATAAGATATAGTCTTGAGAATTAGCAAATTATTGCACATATTTTAAGGGTTAGTTGGCAAGAAAACAAAGTAAATCCAACGAGAGAAAAGAATTTATTCATACAAATCTTACGGCATCTGCTATGTAAAATAAGGTTGCCAACGACACAGAAATAGCCTTAAAATATTGAATAATTATTACAGTCATAACACTAATGAATGATTTCTCATTTAATTTATTGTTTAATGTATAAAAAAAAGATCTGTTGAAACAATATTGTTTCCAAAAATTCACAAAAATGTTTTATAATGTTCCCCTAGAAACAATGAACAATCCAAACAAATTCATTTTTTATTTTAATTTTTTTAAAGGTATATTTATATATTTTTTATTTTGAACATTGACTACATTTGGTTGATTAAGAAAGATTTCTTAATAAGAAAAATAATCATAAGAAAATGGTTAATATCTTAAAGGTTAATGATTTGCAAAATCAGTTTTTCTATAAACATGATGAGACAGTATGAGCTATTAGTACGATAATTTAGTCGAGAGAAGTTAAAATTATATTTTGTCAGAAAGATGCACCACCCAAATCATTTTTAAAAGCAATCTATGTACCTAAGTATGTAATTTTACTATAATTCTAACTTTCTATTTAAATGCCATTTTGCTAATGCCATCCTTTTACTTACCTCATTTCTCGTAGCCTCTTTGACTGTAGCTTAGGCCTACTCTCAGTCCTGCCATTAGCTCTTTGGTGCTTTCCACAGAGCCTCTGTGGTTCAATTTTGTTGTAGTCCTGATTTATTCACTTCCAGCAAAGACGGATTTACTGAAAAGGACACGCAAATGCAGATTTACAGATGCCGTCGTCCTAATCAAAGAAACCATTTACATTTCAGCAACGTAAGTGTTACCATCGACAAGGCACATAAGGTTATTTGTGTTGATGCGGGTGGCGTCAAATGATTTCCAAAACTTATTGGATTTAACTTGTATGTCCAGTCTTACATTAAAGATCCACATATAAGATTGACCATCTGTGTAGCACCAAGCAGTTCGCTGCACAGATTCTGTTGCGAAAAGTTGGTCACAGACAAACGTTAAATAACAAATAATAGATCGGAAAAACCGAAGGGCATTTTCAATTTCCGAAGGATAAAAAATGTATGAATAGTAGATAAACAAAAATTATCGAGAAAGTTATATAAATACCTTAAATTTTAGGTAATAGCATAATTTTATATCCTTAATCTAGTTATTCTATTTGATGACGTTAAAATATTCATAAATTACCATCATGGTGAAAAAAAAAAATATTTATTCATCCTTATAAAATGTACAACCGTTTATTTACAAACGTAAGTTCACACTCAGTGGCACATGTAACCAACACCTTGACGTAGAGTGGAGAGCTCAACTTATCTCGGTGACAGCGTGGGAGTTTATCTGTCAGTTAAGCCTTCTACTTTACCTCGGTGATAGCTTGCACTTTTTCACCACATAAGCTAAAACATCTGTATTACACTTTACGTGTAAGAAATTCTACAAACTCCTCTGTAGCTTTATGTGTATTTATTCTGAGTTCATTTATAACTAATTACTATACAGTTACGAAATTAGACACCATTAAGAGTTTGCATTTTATATTCTCTTGTACCGTACTGATTTAACTCAATCCTAAAATCGGTGAAAGTAAAAAAAACACATTTCTATAAAGAAGGGGGGAGGGGGGGGGGTTAACTTTCTTTAATAACTAGTAACGGGTTGCTTAACACATAGATCAAATTTTCTATACTTATGACGTAATACTTTACTTTCAAAATACAAAAACTTACATTCTATAAGTTAGTACCAATTAGTAAATTATTGTAAAATAATCAGTTTAATTGTACGCAGTGTTTATGTAAAAATACAAATGTCAATAACAAGATATATTTGTATTTCTAACTTTGCATTTGAAAGTCAAGTAGAGAACTTTGCTTTGTGACCAAACCCAACTTCTCGAGGGACTGATGCTTTCAGAATACTTTATACATAGACTTTCGAATTCATCTCGGAATGAAAGTAGTGAAGATGCCAGTTTACTTGTAAAAGTAATTGATTATATATTTTCCGTTGAAATATACGGCATTTAAATGGTTTTTTGTTTACGAATTTCACTCATCAGTCTACAAGTGATGATGATGTTCCAATGGGTCAGTAAAACAAGCAGATATGACTAGATATAGTTGACATAGGGTTTAGAATTTCGATCCATTTAGCTCAGTCTTTTTACACTAAAGATCAGCCGTTCAGTTAAAAGAATTGAACTTAGAAAACTTATCCTTATCAAACTTAGTTTTACTCACTGGTACGCTTTGGACATGGTTAAGATAGAAAGAGGAACTTTCATCAATTACACAACATTAGGGGTAACTTTTCTAGAATTTTTTAGAAGATCCAAAATCTAGTTAAAGGTAAATTATTGATTTCCAGCAGAAAACTATTATCCTGATTATGTCATATTAATAATTTTAATCATTTAATTTATTAATATGTCTGATTAATAATATACAGAATCAAAAGATAAACCATTAGTTTCGGAAGTAACATTTCTTATTATAGGTAAAAATTACTATTAAGTAGTAAGCAAAATGAAAGTGAATTATACCTAGGATTTTATATCTTGTAAACAATATTACACATTTATATTAACTTATACTTAGCAAATGTTTAGGAGCAACAATTTTACCTGCAGTGAAATAGAAAAGAGATGCAATGTATTACAAGATGGACAAAAACAAAGCCACAATTTATACGCATGGCGGATTG